CCCGCATCGGGCTCTGTGCTGACAGCTCAGAGCCTGGAGCCTGCTTCAGATTCTGTGTCTCCCTCTCTCTCTGCTCCGCCCCTGTTCATGCTCTGTCTCTCTCTGTCTTAAAAATAAATACACATTAAAAAAATTAAAAAAAAAAAAAGAGAGATCTATAACCCAAAAGGATAATCAATTCAGGGCGTCATTAAGAACTTTTATGAAAAACCACCATAACCAATAAAGCTTTAAAATTAATTGCGTATTTACATAATAATCAGATACTGTTTTCTAGTACTAGAGTGAATGTGGTATCACCCAACTTGACAGAGCAGGTGCAATTAGTGCAATTTAGTTTCAAAATAGACATTTGTGATAACATATATTTTCACCTGTTTTTAAAAGAATTTAAGGAATGACCAAATAATGTACTTTTTAAATTGAGATATAATTGACAAAATATTTTATTCATTTTAGGTGCACAATGTAATGATTCAATATTTATGTATTATGTGCAATGATGACAATAAGTCTCGTTAACATCCATCACCACACATAACCATTTTTTTCTTGTGATGAGAATGGTCTAGATCTACTTTCTTAGCAGCTTTCAAATACACAAACAATATTATTAGCTGCAATCACCATGCTGCACATGACACCCCTAGGACTTAATTTCTTTTATAAGTGAACATTTGTACCTTTGCCCACCTTTACCCATTTAACCTAAGTAATATGGCTTTGAAGATATTTTTCAAATTTTGTTTTGCCTTGCCCTGTTGATATTTACAAAAACAGCACATTACCAGAAAAACATGACCATGTTAAAGCTTGTTCATACTTTCTCTAGGTATCTGTAGTTCATTTTATGCTACCTCTATGAAATACCAAAAATCATGAACTTGCACTAATGAGAATCTAGTTAAAGATAGTCGAAACTTTCTGTGCTGTGTTTTTTTTTCCTAAATTAAAAACTTTGTTGTACTAGAAAGGATGCTAGTGATGCCCATACATATTAAGGAGCACCTGGCTGACTCAGTGAGCAGAGTGTGTGACTAGTTTATATATACAATGGAATACTACTTAACAATGAGAAAGAATGAAATCTGGCCGTTTGCAGCAACGTGGATGGAACTGGAGGGTATTATGCTAAGTGAAATAAGTCAGGAAGAGAAAGATACCATAAGTTTTTATTCATATGTGGATCTTGAGAAACTTAACAGAAGACCATGGAGGAGGGGAAGGGGAAAAAAAGTTACAGAGAGGGAGGGAGGCAAACCGTAAGAGACTTAAATACTGAGAGCAAACTGAAGGTTGATGGAGGATAAGGGAGAGGGGAAAGTGGGTGATGGGCATTGAGGAGGGCACCTGTTGGGATGAGCACTGGGTATTGTATGGAAACCAACTTGACAATCAGTTATATTTAATATTAAAAAAATCATTCTTTTTAATGGCTCAGTGATATTCCATTGTATCTGTATACCACATTTTTATCCATTCATTGGCCAATGGACATTTGGGCTCTTTCCATAATTTGGCTATTGCTGATAATGCTCCTATAAACATCAGGGTGCATGTGCCTCTTTGAATCTGTATTTTTGTATCCTTTGGGTAAATACCTAGTAGTGTAGTTGCTGGGTCGTAAGATGTTGCTAACTTTTTGCAGACTCTCCATGCTATTTTCCAGAGTGGCTGCACTCAGTTTAAGAATGCATTTTTTAAAAAGTTATTTAAATAAAGATAGATACAGTAAACATATCCCTTCCTTTGTCTCATGGTTGCAATGGTGACAAAGGAGGCAGGATTAGGTAAAGCGTGTTCAAGTGTAACAAAGATTATCAATTTTGTTCTAAAAGTTTAGAACCCTCTTTTATCATTAGACTTTAGAAATCCTGCCTCGCAGTTCTGAGAGCTCTACTGCAAAATATTGAAGCTTGCCTTTAGCACTCACAAAAACTTGCTGAAATATATATTGCTGGTCTGGACCATGAACACTTCTGTTAGTAGACTCTGGATGTTCGCCTGCCAGCAAAGTGAAGAGGAAAATGCAGTCATTACTTTAGGTACAGTAAATGCAATCCCAGGGAGGAAATGGACAATTATAGGACTTTCTTGACTGAAGAGTGCCAGCACTCTTTATCAAGCTATTCACCATGCAAATGAACAGTGGAGTCCCACCCTACAATATCTGGTAACCACATAAAACTGTTAAAGGGATTAACAGTGCTAGAGGCTGAAATGTAATCAGACAGGTGAAATAGTCAGATGAGAAGATATTTGTTCATGAGCTAGCCTTGATAATTAACTTTTAATACTGTTGTGGTAACTGAGTTTAGAATATTTGTGAAATGATAGTAACCTCTTTAAATATGCCCTGCTTTACAAGGTGTAAAAAATTAGAGACATGCAAAATGGGATGTTATTTTGTTTTACTTTAGTTTGGAATATTTTCTGATACCTTAATCGATGTGATTGTATATAATTTGGTTGTCTTTCCCTCTAAAGATTCTATAGAAAGATATTTGTAGTTTTCAATTATGGGCAACGAAGTGCAGCTGCCAAATTCTTGTTTGTTACGTTTGTCATCATATAATGTGATTTATCATATCATATAAAGTGTATAGAATAGAAATGTTCAAAGTGAGGCTAATATTGGGGTTTTTCTGCTTTGACCCTGGAAATAAGTGAGAAGAAAGATCTGTGGAAAATGAATACAGAGATTTTGCTATATTCTGATTTGATGATGAAACTGAACTAATGTGTGTTATGGACCATTCATAAAAACATTCCTTAGTTTACTGAATGGATTTGTGATTGCTTTTGTCAGGGGTGTGTGTGTGTGTGTGTGTGTGTGTGTGTGTGTGTGTGTGTGTTTATGGATTTGCTTGTATTTATGTGTGGGTTTTAAATAAATAATTCTAGAAGTGTACCTTCACTTAGCCCAAAGGGGCTTGTAATTATTACATTGTGCATATTGATTTCTAAATCCAAGTACATTATAAGCTAAGATTCATATATGAAAGTATTATCTATGGAATATTCATTTAATACATAGTAATGTTTTCTGCATATTCTGTAATGTTTATAAGAAATAGAAACCATTTTGGGTGTAGAATTATAATTTTGAAGATTCTATTTGCACACATTTCTTACTTTTACTTTCTGCACATTGCCTAGTCTCCCTCAACACATTGATGCTTACACCGTAGCTAATGCCTTGTATTATTATCCTTTAACAAAAAGTCATATGAACATATTATGATTATATTTGTATTGACATCTCTATTTTAATCTGCTTTTAGAAGTTCAAGTGACAAATATTTTAGTATATTTTTTAACTAGTCAAATATGTTAGAATTAACCTTAAAAACATTAGATATCAAATCAGTGTGATTTGTCACTGTTCTGGGATCAAGGGATCCTATTAACATGTCTTACAGAAGAAATGTATAAACAAGAATATAATCTATTATTCTGAATATTTGATGTGTGTACATTCAAATATATTTCTATTTTTTTTTAATTTTTATTTTAGAAAGAGAAAGAGAGAGCAGGGAGGAGGCAGAGAGAGAGAGAGAGAGAGAGAGAGAGAGATAGAGAATCTCAAGCAGGCTCAGTGCTCAGCACAGATTACAATGTGGGGCTCAATCCCATGACCCAGAGATCATGACCTGAGCTGCAGTCAAGAGTCTGGACACTTAACTGACTGAGCCACCCAGATGCCTTTCAAATATGTTTTAATGGAAACTTTTAATACTATAGAATTAAGAACTGTACTTAGAGACTAACTTCCTCAAAGATCTTAGGATACAAATTTTTTAAGAAATCTGCTTTGTGGGAAGTTAAAGGATTATGGAAGTAAGAGATTATAAAAGGGAAACCTTTAAGTATGAAAATTAATTTTTCTTTATCATTTCAATAACACTCCTCTTGCACATGTATGAAAAATCAATTTAGTACCTTTATACAAAAGATACCACAAATATTAGGTAGATGGCTACAGTTGGATAAGAAATTATGGGGAAAATAAGGATAAAAAGAACATCAAATATGTTTTCAAATTTTAGAATTATAGAATAAATTCTTTTCATACACATACACAAATATGAACAGGGAAAGATTGCAAGAACCTTTCTTTTGTAGGACATGTGAAGCTCACAGTGCAAAATAGAGAATATTGACAGAAACAATGCTTGCAGTAACAAATAGAATTGGAAACATCTTTGGCATAGGCAGAAATAAACTTTCAGTATTCCTATCTGATGTCAAAATAACCTGTGTGGCTGATGCTTTCTTAAAAGCATGAGAGGGAGGTGGAGAACTAAAAAAGGACCCTACTTTAATTAGGAGCACCATCAAGAAGAGGCAGATATTTAAAATGAAATTTGAAGTGCATGATGTTACTTATTTAAATATTGCAATATCATGAGGATGTTTAGGACAGATGACTTGTGCATTTGATGTTCATAGGAAAATCTAAGACTTTCAAAGCAGGAAAATACATGTAATCAATACAGGCTTTGTGTAAGGCTTTTTTTCCCATTTGTTTTCAGTCTTAAGGCAGAGAATCTCCATATTTTTATTTCTTCTGTGAATTGATCTTTGACTCGCACGGTATGAGCCTGTAAAGTTAATGCATTCTTTTTTTTTTAAATTTCTTTCTTTTGGGGCGCCTGGGTGGTGCAGTCGGTTAAGCGTACAACTTCAGCCAGGTCACGATCTCGCGGTCCGTGAGTTCGAGCCCCGCGTCGGGCTCTGGGCTGATGGCTCAGAGCCTGGAGCCTGTTTCCGATTCTGTGCCTCCCTCTCTCTCTGCCCCTCCCCCATTCATGTTCTGTCTCTCTCTGTCCCAAAAATAAATAAACGTTGAAAAAAAATTTTTTTTAATTTCTTTCTTTCTTTTAGTCTTGCAGAATGAAGTTTTGCTTTTTCATGCTTTAGCTAAATAAGCCACCTAACCAATTAAAAAAAATAAAGCTTTCAGAATTAATTTTTTTTTCCTTTGCTTTCTCTTTCAGGAAGTTGATGGCAATAAAGTTATGTCTTCATTTGCCCCACACAACTCATCTACCTCACCTCAGAAAGCAGAAGAAGGTGGGAGGCAGAGTGGTGAGTCCTTGTCGAGCACGGCCCTGGGAACTCCCGAACGGCGCAAAGGCAGCTTAGCTGACGTTGTTGACACCTTGAAGCAGAGGAAAATGGAAGAGCTCATCAAAAATGAGCCAGAAGGTAAAGGTTAGCAGAGAAAGCAAAGTTGCTGCCATCTCCTGATTTTAAGAGTTGGGTTTTAACTTCTAGTTCCGTTTTTTTTTTTTTTTTTTTTTTACTTATACTCAAAGTTAAATTGTACGAAATGGAAACCTAATGCTATGAAGATGGATAGATATTTTTTCCAGAAATATTTCAGTTTGTCCCAGTGTTTTAAATCATTAATTTCTGTTATGATGTCTTCCTTACTTTCACACATGGGTAAATTGTGGTTTAGTAAAACTTAAAGATTCAAGAATAGAATGTGAGAGCGGAGCCTGGAATAGGCACCGCCTACAACCCCAAATATCTGCAGGCTGGTTTGTTCATCTCCAGTTTTTGTCCCCAAGGCCATTTCACAACTTTATTAAATTTTATAATCTTTATTCATGAATGCATCTTATATTACCTTAGTTCAGTCTGTTCCAAAATTAATATGGTTTAGGCCTATTGTATATTTTAAAATCATTGATTATTCTCTGTTAGCTATGCTGAAGTTCCCATTTTGTTCAGCTTCCATGATGCCTTTCTTTTAAGATTTCATCTTCTAAATCTCTTTAATAGTTACTGGTAGTAGCCAATGGGTGACATGCACATGAAGTAAAATTCAAGCAAACAAACAAATAAAACAACCGATGCCAATTACACAGTTTATGTATAACTGATAGTCACCCTTTATGTTCTAGATGTTCACTAACTCCTATTTAAACCTGTATTCTTCCTAAGCACGGATGCCACATTGCACACAAGAGCATGCCTTCTACTTAAGAGTCAGATGGAAATTTAAAACAAACAAAAAATAGTGACATAAAAAGACATATTTTACACCAAAAATATATTGCATTTATACTCTGTAACACTGAGTTGGGCTCATTTCTAGTCTGTTGTTAGGACACTGGCAAATTATGAGTATATATGGCACAAAATGTATGTTAACCAGTATATTTGGGAGTCATATGGTAATTAAATATTTCTGGGTTCCTACCAGATGCATAGCTGGGACATGGATTTTAGTTATAATTTATGTAATTCACATGATCTTACAGTTGGAAAGAGTTTTAGAGATAATCTAGTCAGCCAAAGACTTTTGGCTTTCATCCATGTGGAGATAAAAATGGGGTTTTGAGGAGGACCTAGACAATTTTTTTAATGTGATGGAATTTTTCTTGATATTAAAAATACTATCTTCTTATTTAAGAAGTGTTTAAAAACACATAAAAATTAAAAGGAAAATAAAAATTGCTTACATTAGTAGCTTTCTGATATAACAACTCTTATCCTTATGATGCATTTCTCTTTAATCTTTATTTTCACATATTCTGTTCGTTTTGCATGATCAATTTTATGCTTTTAAAATTATTTTGTATCTTTTAGGTTGTGATACATTATCATTAACTAGAGTCCACAGTTTATTCATATTTTATTAGTTTTCACCAGTATGCTTTATTTGTTCTAAGATGTCATCAAGGATAACATGTTACATTCAGTTGTCATGTCTCCCTGGGTTCCCTTTGGCAGTGACAGTTTCTCAGACTGTTTTTGTTTTTGATAACCTTGAAACTTTTGAGGAATACTGTGCAGGTATAATGTAGAATATCCCTTTATTCAAAGTGTCTGGTGGTTTTCTCTTGATTGAACTAGGGTTATATGTTTGGGGAGGAAGATCATAAGGTAAAGTACAATTTTTGTCACATAATATCAAAGGTACTTACTCTCTATTTGATTTATGAATTTGATGTTGACCTTGATCACCTGGCTGATAAACAGTGTTTGTCGGGTGTTTCCACTATAAAGCTACCCTTCCTGCCCCCTTTCCATACCCTAGTCTTTGGAAGGGAGATGCTGTGTGCAACCCACATTTAAAGAGTAGGGAGTTGTGTTCCCCCTCTTTAGAGTACAGTATCTACATAATTAATTTGGAATTCTTCTGCATGAGAGATTTATCTTTTCTCCATCATTTATTCATTCAATCATTTATTTATCTAAGTATGGACAGCATGGATATTTTATACTTGGACTTATAATCCAATTCTACTTTATTTTGTTGCTCAACTTGTTTCAGCTTTGACCATTGGAAAATCTATCTATTGACCGCTGTGTCACGTTGACATATCAAGGTGATTGTGGGTAGTGTTTGTTTTTTTTTGTTTTTTGTTTTTTGTTTTTTGTTTTTTGTTTTTTTCTTGAGCACGTCTTGACTTTCTGGAACTGTAAGGTGCTGCAGACTCATTTGGGTATTACATGCCCTGGTTCTGGAATCAGCCATTTCTCAAAGAAGCCCTGGTTTCTTTTATTGGAGAATGGTATTAGAAAGTCAGATCTGGACACAAAGTGTGTTCCTTGCTACCAAGGTGTCCTTGCCTTTAGGGCCTTTTATCTGACAGAAGAAAGAAATATATGTGTGCGTGCTAACCTTTATACATACATATCTATAAATATTTCTATGTCTGCCTATATATTAAGCTAAACATGAGTTCTTACTAATGTGTGCAACTGTAATCCATTTCCACATGGATCATTCCAGCCTTATTCCTTGTGGATGCTTCCATTCCCATCCCAACTGTGAGTAACCCAGAACCTACCATCCACCATCCATTTGCTTATTGTTCAACTCCCGTGTATATGTATAACAGTATCAGAATTTTTAACTGATACTGCCATGGGAAACATCCTTATAAATAGAGTATAGTACTTATGTGCAATTCCTTTGCCTTTAGTTTTACAGATTCCATTCATTTCAAAAATTACTTAGGTAATCTTTCCTCTACCTCATTCAGTGAGGTTTTTCCAAGCATTTTTAATACCATTAAATTCTTTCTGTGGTTTTTCCTGCTATCTCTCAAATTTTTAAATTACCTTGTAGAATCTTCTTACATCAAGGTTCAATCTTTGTATTGTACATTTCGACATGTTTTGACAAATGTATTTTGTCACTTGTCCACCATTATAGTATCATTCAGAACAGTTTGATAACCTTAAAAATCCCCTATGCTTTATTTATTCCTTCCTCCCTCTCTCCCCAGAATTCTAGGCAATCTCTGATCTTTCTACTATCTCTGTAGTTTTGCCTTTTCTAGACTGCCGTACAATTGGAATCATACAGTATGTATCTTTCAAACTGGCTTCCTTCACATATCAATGTGCATTTAAGTTTCTGTCATATCTGTTCATGGCTCATTTCTTTTTAGCCCTGAATAAAATTCCATTGTATGAATGTACCACAGTTTGTTTATCTATTCACCTATCAATGGACATCTTAGTTTCCAGTTTTTGGTTGTTAAGAGTAAAGCTTCTATAAGTATTTATGTGAAGGTTTTTGTGTGGATATAAGTTTTCAGCTCAACTAGGTAAACACCTAGGAATGTGATTGTTGAAATGTACGGTAAGATTATGCTTAGCTTTTATAAGAAAATGCCAAACCATCTTTCAAAGTGGTTGTGAGACTCTGCATTCCCAGCAGCAACGGATGTAAGTTCTTGTTGCTCCATACCCCACCAGCATTTGATATTGTCAGTACTTTGGATTTTATCCATTCAGATTGGTTTGTGGTGGCATCTCATCATTTTCATTTGTAGTTTCATGATGACATGTGATGTGGAGCATCTTTTCATATGTGTATTTGCCATCTGTATATCTTCTTTGTGTATGTTTACATTTTTGCTAGTTTATTAATTGAGGTGTTTTTTTTTAATTGTTCAGTTTAAAGAATTCTTTGTGTATTTTCGATACAAGTCCTATATCAGGTATCTGTTTTGCAAATATTTGATTCCCGGTTGTAGCTAGCTTCTTTTTTTTCTTTTAACATTTTCTTTTGTAGAGCAAAATTTTTTAATTTTCATCAAGTTGAACTTACCTCTTGTATTGCAAGGATCATACTTTTGATGCTATAGCTAAATGTATGTTGCCTAACCTAATGTCATTTAAATTTTCTCCTCTGTTATTTTCTTTTTTTTTTTTTTAATTTTTTTTTTTCTCAACGTTTATTTATTTTTGGGACAGAGAGAGACAGAGCATGAACGGGGGAGGGGCAGAGAGAGAGGGAGACACAGAATCTGAAACAGGCTCCAGGCTCCGAGCCATCAGCCCAGAGCCCGACGCGGGGCTCGAACTCAGGGACCGCGAGATGGTGACCTGGCTGAAGTCGGACGCTTAACCGACTGCGCCACCCAGGCGCCCCTCCTCTGTTATTTTCTACAAGTTATGTAGTTTTGCATTTTACAATTTAGTTCCATGATCTGCTTTGAGTTACTTTTTGTAAAAGGTTTAAGTTCTCTGTCTAGTTTGTGTTTTTGCATGTAGATGTCCAATTGTTCTAGCTCCATTTATTGAAGAGAATATCATATCTCCACAGAATTTCCTTAGTTCCGTCACCAAAGTTAAGTTGAATGTATTTGTGTGGGTTTACTTCTGCCCTCTATAGTCTGTTCCATTGATCAATTTGTCTATTCTTTTGCCAATACCTTGCTGTCTTAATAACTATGACTTCAAAGTTGAGAAGTGTCAGTCCTCCAACTTTGTTCTTTTACTTCAGTACTGTGTTAGTTATTCTGGGTCTTTTGCCTTTCCCTGTAGACTTTAGAATTGGTCTTGCCATCTACAGAATTACTTCCTGGGAAGTTGGAAGAATTGGTATTTTAACAGTGTTCAATCTTTCTATCCATGAATACAAAAATATTTCTCGATTAAGATTTTCTTTGATTTATTTTCAGTTTCATAGTTTTCTGCATATAGATCTTTTACATATTTTGTTATGCTTATACACAGTATTTTCATGATGTATTTTTATTTATTTGTTTAACATTTATTTTTACGGGAGAGAGAGACAGAGACAGAGACAGAGTGTGAGCAGGGGAGGGGCAAAGAGAGAGGGAGACATGGAATCTGAAGCAGGCTCCAGGCTCTGAGCTGTCAGCACAGAGCCAGACATGGGGCTCAAACTCACAAATAGTGAGATCATGGCCTGAGTTGAAGTTGGATGCTTG